CTTAGTTATTTCAATCCCAAGCGCTGTTACTATCGACTGAATTTTTCCCCACAGTTTAATCCGGGAATCATCTGCGCGCGAAGCTCTTATGCATTCTTTTGCTCCGTTTACTTCTTCATATGCATCACCAAGATTGCATTCTTTTGCCTGCAGTATTTTGGTGACTGCTGCTGTAAAACTCAGAATGAACTGAACCACAACAAGTGCTACGATAAACTGTGGAGTTTTCATTAGGCGAATGTATGATTGGGCATTGTGCCTCGGCTCCCCTTTGCTTTGGGCTGCGATTTGCTCAAGTGATTCCATGACCGACGAATACTTGGCCATCAAGGCAAATAGGGTTTCCACCCTTGAACTCCATCTGGTGGGACAAAGCTTTGGAACGGTTTTCTTCTTTGCTCCTCTTAAGATTGCCTTATTTGACTTATGAAGGCCATGATCGTCGTCGTTTTCATCTTCATCCTCCTCCTCCTCGTTGTCATCATTACCACTCTCTTTTAATAAGGCTGTTAATTCGTCATTGGCCTCAGTCGCTGCATTCTGTTTAAACATTTCCTTTCTTTTAGCACCATCTCCCAAAAAACTTGTGATCTTGGCTACATTGTCAAACAAATCCCGAACACCATCAATACCCGTGCAAGCGCCTGCAAGTGCTAGATTGAGAACATGAGAACGGCAATGTACATAAACAGCATTTGGGTAAGCATCAAACACTTTTTTCTGCAAACCATTATTGCTTCCACTCATCACGGCCGCTCCATCATATCCTTGTCCAACAAGTCCTGTCAAATCTAGTCCCCATCCTTTTAAGGTTGGAATCAAAACATCAAAAACAGACTGCGCATCCATCTTTGTCAATTTTACAAAGCCCAAGAACTCTTCACAAACTTCCATATTGCTATTCACAAACCGTATGCATATACTCATTTGTTCCATTGCAGAAACATCCGTTGTTTCATCGGCCATTACACTCCAATATGTTTGAACCGTGGCAATTACTCTCTCTCGTATTATGGACTCGCACAGTGAAATAATTTCGTTTTGGATGCGGGGCGAAGTGAACTTTGCATTTTTTGGAGCATGTTCCAAATGGTCTTTCAGGTCCTTGTCAAATTCTGATTTCCAGTTCACAAAGAAAATAAAGTTTCCGTTTTCTTCACCAGTTTTCTTAACCCAGTTACCTCTTAAGGGTGCTCCTCGCATTGCCAATTTGATGATGACATCGATGATAGATAATAATCCCTTTTTTGTACGGATTTGTTGCTCTGACAAAAGCTTAGATAGTTTCGCTACAATATCTTTACCTGGCTGACACGTGGCAAGAAAACAATGGGCCATTTCTTCTGCAGTCTGATGGGCTTCACTTAACATGTGTTGATCAATGTAGTTATCTTTTCCAGTTGCTTTTTTCCAGTTGCTAAATCCACATGACACGAATGGGGACAAATTTGAAGAACATGAGGTATTCCCTGGAATGTTCTTCTTTCCTCCAAAGCATATACAATATGCACAAAATGCTCTGTCCTTTGTAATACTATACCTCAACCATGGCCTCTGTTGCATCCAAGATGATTTGAATTTCCTACCAGCTGTAACAGGACATTCAAAGTTATGGGGCAAGTCAGATTTTGATTTCAGAAAAGATAACTTGTCATCATCAGAAAGCTTTTTGGAAATATAATTGGCAGGGTCATTGATATCATTAACAGGTGAGGTATGTTGTTCCTTGTTTGGAGAATCAAAAGTCAGACTGCTTTCATTAACTGGTGGTAAAGGTTCAGGAGGAATAGAACTTTCAGGTTCAACACTACACCAATAAGGCAAAAGAACATTTCAATGTGTCATGCGTGTATCAGCATGAATTTTCAATGGCTATTTATTATTTATACCATGTTGATAATTTTGTAAAGGGAGAACCAAAATATGTTACTTAGTTATTAACTTTAAACCATACATAAGTCATAAATGTGAAAGAATTAATACTAAAATAAACATTGGAAAATTTATTAATCAAGAATCCAAACTCTAATCAAGGTAGTTTGCAGTGCAGCAAATACACACATGTGAATATGTTGGTTTATAATATATAGGGATTATTAGATTATAGCCTTAGTTAGTTTGCTGCGAAGCTGCGTTACCATTTACCTGTATTTACAATATATATTACATATATGATATAAAATTAAAATGTTAATTCATTTATAACAATTTTCAGAACAAAGCAATTACATGTACAGAAATACTCATATAATATCAATGTCCAGCACTAGCAGTAGCAGATGATCTTATTTTATTTATATTTAATTTATAATCCTGGTTCACTTTACAGTCACTTCAGCATGATATTTATTTAATACTATTTAGCAAATAAAACTTCAACTTGCAAAGTCGGAAAGTCACAGAACAAAAATATCAAAGCACATAAATTATATTCTTTATACCTGGTTGAACTAGCACTGGCTGGTTTAAATAACAGAGTTGTTTGACGAAGTTTTTGCCTTTTAGCATTTGGCTCCATTATATATAAATTTTAAAATAACTGAAGAGCATTCGAGTGTGACTTATGAGATTTCGAGCGTGAATCAATACAATATCAAATATGGCGGCCGGCCGAAAGATTTGATGCTGGTTGGTAGTCTGGTACCTAGTTACCTCGAAAGAGTACAATTAAAATCTAAATCGCTTAAATTTTAAGCCTTAAATATATGAACAAAATAAATAAAATAAAATTCAATTATTTTATTTTACACCACACTATACATCACATACCTAACACGTTCTTTAATTTCAAATGCTTGAACTAGCCAAATAATTTTTTTATTATTTGCGTTTATTTGAACATTGCAAGTTTAGATTTCTCTGGAGGGGCAACTGCCCCTGCTGCCCCCCCCCTCTGTGTACGGCCCTGCTCACTTCGCAGGTTAATTTAGTGTCTGGGGGTCAAGACATGCGTGTTTTATATCACGATTACTGACTGAGCACTCTTCGCATCCGTGAAAAGAATGGGACTGGCCTTCAAGTTTGGCTTCAAGTAACGTTCCAGTTCAGTCCGCCATGTTCTTAGTAAGTGCTCTAAAGAGAGGCAGTCACCCCCTTGAAAACATATTGAAATTTATTTAATATTCCAGGGGGGTAAATACCTTTCTTTAGGGCACTTGCTAAGAACATGGGCGCCAGCTATTTCGGTAAAAACTACCTTTTGTTTTCCCGCTGAAGTGAGACCTCTGTATGTGGTATTCTATGAAAGGGGCGTCGCTATCCCTATTTAAATGGGGGGGATCTAAGTTAATTGTTGACATCAGTGTTCCACCCCCCTCCCTTTAGCGACGGACCTGTGGCTATAAATAACACTACAACGATAAGCTCAAAACTAGAATTCCTAGAGGTTCTTTCTTATGTTACAGTAGAATATTTTCGGGATAAGAAGCAGAACATTGCAGAATATTAGAGTTTGGGTAATGGTCGAGTTTCGAGGGTCGAGGGTCATAGGTCGAGGGTTGAGGTTCGAAAGTCGAGGTCGAGGGTCAAAAGTCGAGGGTCCAAAGTCGAGGGTCCAAAGTCGAGGGTCGAAAGTCGAAGTTCAAGGGTCGAAAATGGGAAATATTAGTTTTTTATTGATACATTTCTAGAATACTACATTTTTGGCATTTGTTGTCAAAATTTTAAAGGTTCTCGGTTCTCCTGATAATTAACTTCATTACTGTTAGTATACAGAACATGCCTTAGGGCATAATTAGGTTCCTTTATGTTTTTCGAGAAAGTGTCAAATTATGTACTAAAACTATTCGATAACGTTTGTAATTGTATTTAATGTGCTATCAGAACGGATCGCAGCAAAAATCTCTCACAATGGTCGTGAGATAATTCCGAACTAAAATCACCCTGTTATAAAGATTCGTGCTTCGTGCATGTTATTTTTGACAGAACAACCAAAGACCTAGAAAGTCTCCATTTTATTACACTACAACGTTCTCGCAACTATGTTATAAATATTGAACTGTCAGTCGAACATGTGCACTTCCAGTGCAGACATGTAAACACCATGTTATAAAATATATAAATATCAACTGTTTCTCGCACACCCTAACGCTTTAAACCTCCAAAATTAACCATACGCGGTATGAGGAGTATCGTTAAGTTGAAGTTCTGAGAATTTCAGAACTCTTTCGCCTCCAAGAGATAACACATTACCTTACCTATAATAAAAAAAAAAATACCTTACCTATAATAAAAAATAGGTACGCAGTGCGTACATGTTGCATGCCAATAAAACCTTAAGCCCGTTTTCCACTCACGTATTTCGCCGCCGCTGGCGAAAAATTTCGCCACCGAAAAAGTTAATTTGTTGTTCTTTCGCGCCGTCAACGAAAGGTCAAACAGAAGTTGAAAATTTTAAGCAACTGTAGCAGGAGAACAAATTTCTTCAGCGGCGAATGAATGCCAAAAAAATGATTTCTTTATCAAAATTTTTCGCCAGCGGCGGCGAAATACGTGAGTGGAAAACGGGCTTTATGATGCGCGCTTATAACTAATCTTAAAAACCATTTGGGGGGGGGGGTTTCGCAGAGATACGACTTTCTAACACGAGACATCTATAGAAAGCTTACTTCATTATTAAACTAATGCAACGATAGATAACGTTTGATAATAATAATAATAAACAAAGATTGTACAATATTAAATAAGATTTATTTTGGACGATGGCTACTGTATAGGCAAAACTGAAATTAGAGTAAGGGTTACAGTCAATATTTCAATATATAAAAGACGTTCAGACGTTCATTCATAACGAACATTCAGCTAGTGAAAACTAAAAGACGAGTCACTCTTTTCTATGACAATAGAACACGTGTTATTGCGTATTACAGTACATGTTCTACCCAGTGTAAGTTTGAAGATATTGATTATGATGCATATCAAGTCCATTGTTTATATAACAGGTACTCACGCACGTTGTTGCCTCGATTATGAGTATTCGAACAGGTGCAATGTACCGTACAGCAAAGTATTTGTTCAAGTACTGTGCATCTTTCTTAATTACCAAGTCTTCCTTGCCGCGTTAACTTTCCTTTGAGACTTTGTACTGTACGTGCGACTTCGTTGAGTAGCTTTTCGCTTTAAAATGTTTTGGTGTCAGAGCCAGGTGAAATGTACCGTACAACAAATATCCAACGAGTCGTATCTTCAAGTACTGTGCATCTTTCTTAATTTTCAAGTCTTCCACATTGAATTTTCAGAATACATAACGACGCAACTGTAGACGTTTTAACTTTGGTAGCTGAATTGAATTGTTTCATTTTGGAATATTCATTGACATAAGATGATACATCATTCAATATAATTATCCACCAATGTTGTCAGCCAGCAAATGAAAGGCATATTATTGTATACTTTTGATATCTGTAAATATTAATGCAACGGTATTAGTGGATGCAATTATGTATAATGTAACATGGATTTCATAAGCCATACAGTCCGAGCTTTTGCCGCGACATGACTAGATGTTAATAAGACGTAGCAACATACCAAAATTGTTCTATTTTGAGTACTTTTGTTAAATGAAGTTATCGTTAATGTGACCATGTTAATGTATAAAGATATCTAAAAAAGAAAAAAAAACAATTAAACACATAAATACAGGAAAGAGAGAGGGGAAACGAGAGAGAGGAAAAGAGAGAGGGGAAAAGAGAAAAAGAAAACTTACCCAAATGTAGCCAACGTCCACACAAGGACTTATTTTTATAACATTGGGAGTGGCACAGCGGCTTGTCTTAATAACATTGGCAGTGGACTGCGGCTTGTCTTAATAACACTGGGAGTGGCGCAATGGCTTGCCTTAATAACATTCGCAGTGGCACAATGGCTTGCTATCTTTGCGATACCTTAATTGAACGGTATATAATTATTATTCCTATGTCCTAACGGAGGCCCATATTGCTTTATAATCACTAAAGTAAGTTTCTAGAATACCAGCTTCAATTTCCTCTTCAATTAAATTTGTGTATAAGTGATCAATTAACGTTCTGTTGTCGGTTGTAAAGCCTGTTATCAGTTGCCTGTAATGATTTTGTACAACCATCAAATTGTAGAGTGACTGTCGATCAGATTCTACCATCCAGTTGACATTGAAATCTCCAATTATAATGTTTTGTGCAGAAGAATCTTCATCAAGTACGCTACGTAGTGAAGACAGTAGACGTGATATAGCAATACTGGGTGAGCGATATACTCCAATTATACTTAGATGCGGATTACTTTCTGTTTTAATAATTGTAAACTCGATTTCATTGACGTTGTGAGTATAAGGGTATCCTTCTTTTAAAGGGACTCGGCTATGAACAGCCGTTCCACCGTATGGACGTCCTGGACCCGTACCTTGGGAAACATCATTTCTGAACAACCTGTAGCCATTAATGTTGTATATATTGTCAG